TGAAAGCCAGGTAGAAGACTTGAGACTTTAGCCTGAGGGCCATGGGGAGTCACTGAAACATAAACACAGACTAGCATATCTTGATTTGTCTGTAAGAAAGATCACTCTGCTACCAGATGGGAAGAGGCAGAGCATAAAAGCAGAAATGGTGAGGGCACGAAGACCACCACAGTAAGAAGAGAGGGGAAGCCAGGGAGAGGAGGAGGAGGAAGAGGAGGCAGGACCTGATGGTGACTCACAGTGTGGGAGAGGGGCCTGGCGGACGAGCGAGGCTGTGGCGCAATGATAACCCCTGTAGGCTCTGAAAAGGGACGGGAGATTGGTTTGAAGTGCCTGTGGTCACCCCATTCCGGCCCATCTGCCTCTTGGTTTAGTTCACAGTATGCTTGCGTCGGGAGGGAAAGACTGTGTACCAGCAAGTCCTGTCTGTGGAGCGCCCAAGTGTCCTACGCAGCTGGAACTGGGGCCTGTGTGGGTACTTTGCATTCTACCACGCCCTCTATCCCCGAGCCTGGACTGTCTATCAGCTTCCTGGCCAGAATGTCACCCTCACCTGTCGCCAGATCACACCCATCTTACCCCATGACTACCAGGTGAGGCTCCCACTGTGTTTCCTCCATTGCCCTCCCTTCCCTAAGACCTGTCTCTGTTGGAAACTCCACAATCTGTGAAACAATGGGGACAGGAACATGACATCATGCTGGTTTTCTGGGACCTCCACTCAGTGGTAAGACAGCCTGCCTGGGAAAAGGGGGAGATATGAGGGGAAACAAAAGAGAGTCTACTGGGGACAGGGGTTAGTATTTGAGCCAGGTCCTCAGTGTGGAGGAGTGGGGCCAAGAGGGGCTACACAGGACCATCTGAGTCTGATCTTTTGATCCCAGGACAGCAGCCTGCCTGTAGGAGTCTTTGTGTGGGATGTGGAAAATGAAGGGGATGAAGCCCTGGATGTGTCCATCATGTTCTCCATGCGGAATGGACTAGGGGGTGGGGATGACGCCATAGGGGGATTGTGGAATGAGCCCTTCTGTCTGGAGCGTGATGGAGAGACGGTACAGGGGCTGCTGCTCCATCATCCAGCCCTTCCGAATCCCTACACGATGGCTGTGGCTGCACGACTCACGGTACGTCAGAGCCTGCCCTAGGCCTTAACCCCCAAACCCCGACCCTCAGCCAGCCCTGAGCCCACCCCATCCTGCTGCAGTCTCTTCGTTTCCTCAATTCCTGAGTCCCATCCTCACTGTAGCCCTTAAGCCTCTGGCACTTGGAGGTAGGAATTATAATGGGAACTGGAGAGTTAGCCCAAAGCCAGCATATTTGTGGAGCTTCTCCTCAGTCTTTGGCCCCTTGACAGGCGGATACCACGGTAACCCATATCACAGCCTTTGACCCTGACAGCACTGGGCAGCAGGTGTGGCAAGATCTGCTTCAAGATGGACAGCTGGACTCCCCTGCTGGTAATGATGGGATTTGATAGGGAGGTGGTGGGAATAGAGGCTATCCCTGTCTTGGGAGGAAGGGTGACACACCTGGCAATGAATTTCCCATTATTAGGGATCCCTGGGGCAGAAGGGGATGCCTGTGCCAATTTCTCTTGTACTTCTCTCAGGTCGAAGCACCCCCTCGCAGAAAGGAGCAGGCATCGCTGGGGCTGTGTGTGTTACAGGAAAGCTGCCACCTCGAGGCCAGTGCCGCCTGGAGTTCTCACTGGCTTGGGATATGCCCAGAATCATGTTTGGAGCTAAGGGCCAGGTCTACTACAGGTGAACGGGCCAAGAGACTACAGGGATCCCAGATGCTAGAGCTCTGATCTGGAACCTAGGTACTCATTCCTCTTTCTTTCCATCCCAGGCGGTACACGAGGTTCTTTGGCCGCGATGGTAATGCAGCACCTGCTCTTAGCCACTATGCTCTATGCCAGTACATAGACTGGGAAGAGAAGATCTCAGCTTGGCAGAGCCCAGTATTGGACGACAGGTGCCAGTGGGGCCAGTCTCTTGCCTTTCTCCCGGGCACTCACACTCCAGTTGGGACTCCTTGGTTCAGTTTCCACCCACCACAATCAACAGAGTTGGGGTGGGATTCACTTGATGCCCTCATTCTGCAGAACTCCAGAATCCTTTCTTTCCTGGGAAGTCTACACTCATTAGACCATTCCAACCTCCTGGCTCCCCAGATCCTTGCCTGCCTGGTACAAATCTGCACTGTTCAATGAACTATACTTCCTGGCTGATGGAGGCACAGTATGGCTGGAAGTTCCCGAGGACTCCCTACCAGAGGAGCTGGTGGAGAGCATGTGTCAGCTCCGCCCCATCCTCCGGGAATATGGTCGATTTGGCTACCTTGAAGGTACGGGCTGCTGGTGGGCTGCAACACAGCAGGCCGTATCCATGAGTCCAGTAGGTGCCCTACCACAAGGCAGGATAGTGGGTTTTGCCTACCCCAGGGGATCGTTGGGATAAGAGGGTAAGTGGCAGGTGTGGAGTATGCCAGTGCCCCCATCCCCAACTCAAGGACAAGCTAGAGACATTGAAAGGGAAGCGGGAATTTTGGCAAGTATGTCTCTCTCCTGCCTCCAGGCCAGGAATATCGCATGTACAACACATATGATGTCCACTTTTACGCTTCCTTTGCCCTCGTCATGCTCTGGCCCAAACTCGAGCTCAGCCTGCAGTATGATATGGGTGAGGGTCCCTTTTGTGCCCCTTCTGCCCTCTTAGCCCCCCACACCCCTGAATCCTTGTGCTCCCTTGGATTTTCTCCTTCCTCTCCACCCAACATACCTGCATCCTGCCTACAGTTCCCCTCTAGAGTTATAAACACCATTCTGCGCTCCACCTTAAGTCTGCCCATTCCCTGCCCCCTCCCACTTATGTGTCTGCTCCCCTAGCTGTGGCCACACTCAGGGAGGACCTGACACGGCGACAATACCTGATGAGTGGGGTAATGGCACCTGTGAAAAGGAGGAACGTCATCCCCCATGATATTGGGGACCCAGGTAAAAGTCCTTCTACCCCAGAGTTCACTTCCCTCCCTCAACTTTTGCACCCTCTCCTCTACCCACCAATGCAGATCAGTCAGGTTTCCTCGCCTCCCACAGATGATGAGCCATGGCTCCGAGTCAATGCGTACGTGGTCCACGATACAGCTGACTGGAAGGACCTAAATCTGAAGTTTGTGCTGCAGGTTTATCGAGACTATTACCTGACGGGTGACCAGGGCTTCCTGAGAGACATGTGGCCTGTGTGTCTGGTAAGACATGCATGTGCAGGGGCCAGTGTGCCAAGGGCCTGGCTGGTGTTTGGGGGAAGGCCAGCTGGCTCTTATTGCTCTTTAGTATCTATCTAGGTCTTCAGTGTCTTGGTCCCTCTCTAGGCTGTGATGGAGTCTGAAATGAAGTTTGACAAGGACCAAGATGGACTCATTGAGAATGGAGGCTATGCAGACCAGACCTATGATGGATGGGTCACTACAGGCCCCAGGTTGGGGAGTAGGGATTTACAGGATGCCTGAGTTGGGGAACCAGGCACCCAGGAATTGTGGGCTCAAGGAAGAATGACTCATTTCTTGTTATATTGCATGGGAGTGGCTGGAGCTGCCAGTCTGACCCCCAACCCATGTCCCTGATCAGTGCTTACTGTGGAGGACTGTGGCTGGCAGCTGTGGCTGTGATGGTCCAGATGGCTATTCTGTGTGAGGCACACGATGTCCAAGATAAGTTTTCTTCCATCCTTAGACGGGGCCAAGAAGCCTATGAGAGACTGTTGTGGAATGGTGAGTTGGAGGATCCTCAGGAGTCTTAAGGCAGCTACGGGGGCACAGGGAGCCTTATTTTGTCTTCCTCTACCCTAGGCCGCTACTACAACTATGATTGCAGCCCTCAGCCCCAGTCCTGTAGCATCATGTCTGACCAGTGTGCGGGCCAATGGTTCCTGAGGGCCAGTGGTCTAGGAGAAGGAGACACTGAGGTGAGTAGGACTAGGAGGAGGAGCCAAAGAGAAAGGTGGGTTTTTCCTGGAGGTAAGAAGCAAATTTTGGAAACCATGATTCTGCCTTTACCCCCCCCCGCCCAGGTATTTCCTACCCGACATGTGGTCTGTGCTCTCCAAACTATCTTTGAGTTCAACGTCCGGGCCTTTGCAGGAGGAGCAATGGGGGCTGTGAATGGGATGCAGCCCCATGGTGTCCCCGACAGATCCAGCGTCCAGTCTGATGAAGTCTGGGTGGGTGTGGTCTATGGACTGGCAGCTACCATGATCCAGGAGGTAAGGCACTCCCTTCCCATCTTTCTACCATTTGTACCTTGAGCTGGCAAACTTCCTCAGCCATCAAACTTCTGTAGAGCCTTAGCCATCTGGAAAGCCTCTCTTTTTTTCCCAGCCTGCCTTCCATTTCCTACCTTCAGGCTTCTGCCTATGGATCAAGTTTCTTTCTACCACTAGCTGGAAACTGTCAGAGGGCAGAGGCCCTACTGTCTCTATCTGTCCGGCTGAAGTAGCTATTCATAGATCGCCAAGTAATGTGGCTGACATCTCTTCCTCCAGGGCCTGACTTGGGAAGGCTTCCAGACAGCTGAAGGCTGCTACCGAACTGTGTGGGAGCGCCTGGGCCTGGCCTTCCAGACCCCTGAAGCATACTGCCAGCAGCGGGTGTTCCGCTCATTGGCGTACATGCGGCCACTGAGCATCTGGGCCATGCAGCTGGCCCTGCAGCAGCAGCAGCAGAAAAAAGCCTCCAGGCCAATAGCCACACATGGCACAGAACTAAGCACAGGGCCTAAACTTGGACCAAAGGAAGCCATGGCAAACCCAAAGTGAGCTCTCAGCAGTCTTGGAGGGAGGCTCTAACAGCCCAGCCTCCAGCCTGGCTTTTCCTCTTCCTCTTCACTGCCCCCCCCCAACCACCCAGTCTCCTGCAACCCTGAGCCACCAAGACAATCAGGCCCCTTCCTTTCCCACCCAAATCGCGCCAGTAAAGAGGGGTTGAGGGTGACCCAAGAGTCAGAATCACTTATTTATTTCTCTCTATACCCAATCCCCCCATTGCATGAAATGTTCAAGGAGGTCAGTTGAATTCCCCCAGGCCCATTCATGGGGTGGTAGACTTACATGGGTACAAATAAAAGACCCAGAAAGCCAGTTAAGTGTGGTGTGTTTGAACTCTCAGGCTTCCTGACACAGGAGCTCACAGGTTAGCCCTCTCCCACTCCTTTCACTTGGACACAGACTAGGAACCCCGGGCTCTGGCTTCGCACCCCCCACCTGGACATCTAGCCTGAATATCTGCCCTGTAAGATAACAGATGTGGGGCTGTGTGTAAGGAGCCATCCTCCATCTCTTGTGAAATTTGCATGCAGGGGAAGGAGGGGACAGGAACAGGGGGACTTTGAGGAAGGGACAGGAAGTGGCAATTTCAAGGGAGACTCAGCACCAGGAGCCTGAGGCAGGTGGTAGAGCGGGCTGCAAGAGTTGCCAGGGGCCTGGAGCTCCTGGTCTGAGCTGTCCTTTGGTACCTCTGACTGCAGGGCAGGCAGCTCCAGCTGGTGGGGGTCTTCACTGGGGAGGGCACGAAGCTGGCGGGACAACACTAAGGAAACAAAGACCCCTCAAGGACTAGCCTGGCTTCTGCCTATCCCTTCCCTAATGGTATTCTCAATCCTCTCACCTCCATGCTCAGCTGGCAGGCTCCCCCTTGTGTCAGAGGAGTACATAGCAGGTACAATGAGCAGACAGAAGGAGAACAGTAGGACCTGGAGAAGGAAAAAGAAAATGAAGAAGGGCTCTAGGTTGCAACCCTATCCCTGCCACCTGAAAAAAGGACCTCTCCTTCCATCACCATCCTCACCAAGACACAGGTGCTGCTGCTGCTCGTTTTGTTTGATATCTGAATCAACATGGCCTGGAGTCTCCTCAGCTGGTCCAGAAGGGACCTAGAAGAGAGGGGACAGGGAGCAGTCCCTGGTCTGGCACCCAGAGATACAATGAAACCCCCCTGTTAAGGCCACCCCTCCATCTGTGCACTGAGTTCTCTTTGGCTCTTTGTCCTATTTTTGCAAATGGATTCTTCCTCTCTGTGGACAGAATGCTTGAAGTTCCTCATTAAAACAAACACCTTTCTGTCCTGCCCTGAAAACTCCTTTGCAAATACCTTCAAGGGTTCTACAGTGCCTGATCAGCCACGCACATAACCCACCAGGAATTCAACATTCACTTTCTAGCTCAACACACCTGTGTTCCTTCTGCCCAGAGTGCTCCCTACCTTGACCCCCACCCCAGATTCTGATCTACTATCAAATGTTATCTGCCCCACTGAGTCTTTCTTACTCCTTCCTTTCTCTTTCTTGTTACTTATTAGTTACTTGTGATTTTGTTCCCAATTACTGTGAGCTTTTTGGCATCAGACCCACTAAAGGCTAAGCACCAGACCTTGCAAGTGGGAGCTGCCAAGTGAGAAATCCAGTGTGGAGCAAGGGAAAGAGTGAGACAGCATAAAACGGGAGGGACAAGAGACTAATGTTAGAGAGTTGCTTACAAATTCTGTTCTTCCAGGAGCTGTACTTTGTTCTGTAGCTCCAGGTTCTGGGCTGTATATTTCAAGACCCTGTGGGAATAATAGGATGTGGGGATATGGCCTGTATCCCCCTCCTTCAAAACCCCAACACTTCCAACTACCTCTGTCCCCACACCCCCACCCCCAGGTCCCTCTCCCTTCTGTACCTGTTCTCTAAACCTCCCAAATACACCTTCTTCTTCCTGCGGCTCTCCTGGGCAGATTTTTTGTTTCGGATCTTCCTCCGCACTCGTGTCAGAACTTGTTCCTCCATCTAAGAGAAGACAAGAAAAAGCGGTCTCATTAGAGGAATGTTGGACCAAAGAGTTGGAAGGCAACTAAGTTCAATCTTCTCACTGCAGGAATCCCTTATACAGCTTCCCTGATCAATAGGCACTTGGCTTCTGCCTGAAGGCCAGGAGTTAATACCCCCACAAACCAGACCATTTTAAACAATTTTATTAATTAAAAAAACAAAACTGGGGCACCTAGGTGGCTCAGTGGTTGAGTGTCTGCCTTCAGTTCAGGTCGTGATCCCAGGTCCTGGGATCAAGTCCCACATCAGGCCTACCTCAGGGAGCCTGCTTCTCCTTCTGCCTATGTCTCTGCCTCTCTCTGTGTCTCTCATGAATAAATAAATAAAATATTTAAAAATAAAAACAAAACAAAAAATCTTGGGGCACCTGGGTGGCTCAGTTGGTTAGGAGTCTGACTCCTGATTTGACTTCAGCTCAGGTCATGATCTCAGGATCATGGGATGGAGTGCTGCGTTGGGCTTTGTGATTAGCAGGGAGTCCACTTGAGATTTTCATTCTCTCTCCCTCGCTTTCTGCCCCAACCCGCTGCTTGCATGCACAAGCACAATCTCTCTTTAAAATAAATAAACCTTTAAAAAAATATTTTTTTTAATTTATTTATTTATTTATTTATTTATTTATTTATTTATTTATTTATTTATGATAGGCACACAGTGAGAGAGAGAGAGAGGCAGAGACACAGGCAGAGGGAGAAGCAGGCTCCATGCACCGGGAGCCCGACGTAGGACTCGATCCCGGGTCTCCAGGATCCCGCCCTGGGCCAAAGGCAGGCGCCAAACCGCTGCGCCACCCAGGGATCCCTAAAAAAAAAAATCTTTAAAAAAAAAAAATTTTCCTTATCCTAAGCTAACCGACATCTGCCTCTATGATTTCTATCAATTGAACTTACCTGGTACCTATCTCTGAGACCATATAGAATGAAGTTTTTTTTGTTTTTTTTTTTTTAAAGATCTTATTATTTATTCATGAGAGACACAGAGAGAGAGAGAGAGAGAGAGGCAGAGACACAGGCAGTGAGAGAAGCAGGCTCCACGCAGGGAGCCTGATGTGGGTCTCGATCCCGGGTCTCCAGGATCACACTCTGGGCTGAAGGCAGGTGCTAAACTGCTGAGCCACCCAGGGATCCCAGAATGAACAGTCTTTAATTTAAGCCATTCAACATTTCTTCAGAGTTAAAAGATCTGGGCAAAAATTTTAACTTCTCGGGATGCCTGGGTGGCTCAGCAGGTTAGAACCTCCCTTCAGCCCAGGGCACGATCCTGGAGTCCCAGGATCGAGTCCCACATCGGGCTCCCTGCACAGAGCCTGCTTCTCCCTCTGCCTATGTCTCTGCCTCTCTCTGTGTGTCTCTCATGAATAAATAAGTAAAATCTTAAAAAAAAAAATTAACTTCTCACCTCTCTTCGGGATGGACTGCATCCTCTTAATATCTGTCAAAGATCTGGGTTCAAAACTAGACACTGAGATGTGCTCTAGCTAGTATAACGGAGAAGAAGATGGTCACTGCCCTTCTAGAGGCAACACCTCTACTGATACAGCCTTCAAACCCCACTCACTTTCTTTGTCATCTCAAACTAACCCATCTTGTACTTTTAAGAAAATTCTCTCAACCTTCTGTAGTGTTGGTTTCACAACAGTACCACAATACTGTGCTTGTGAAGCTGCCATTCATTGCCTGAAACTTAAAACTTGGGATTTTACAATTATTCTCACTATATTACTTAGTCCAGCCTTGATGAACTCTAACCATTTAGCTACAGGTGGATTACCATGAGTTTGCTTGCACAGTCCTTTCCAAGACCCTGTACTAATGTTGCATCGATGACTTTGAATTCTTCTCAAAGAAAACACCAAAACTTGTATGAGCCCCACAAAACCAGGATCTGCCTCTGCATCCACCATATTAACGTCATGCTCCAGCTTCCTATTACCAACAAATTTGCCAAGTTTTCTAACCTCAGTCCTTCCTGACATAAAGTTAACTAGAAGTACACACTTGGGATCCACAACACCCCCCTCCAGCCTTCACTCCCACCAATGGGAGTCTTACCTTAGTAAGAGGAAGCGTCCCATGCAGAGTAAGCCCCTCCTTCTCCAACAGCCTCTTCTCTTCATCTGTCAGTATCAGCCTAGCAATCTCCTGGCATTAGTTACCAGGAGGTGGGCAGCAGAGTTGCAAGGGGATGACAGAAAGGAATGGGGAATCCGCCCCCACCCGCGCAATGTGGGAATGATCCCGCCATAAATCAAGTACCTGCTCTGCGGGCTCCTCCACTTGCAGTGGGGTCGTCTGGGCCTCTTCTTTTCCATAGCTCCCACCATCTGCAAAACGAAAAGTATAAATAGCCGGACCCACGAAGCCTCTCCTCCCCTCAAACCTCACTTTCTTCCTCATCATATTTCAAACTCACCTAGATCTATGGAAACATGCTGTTGTGAGAGAGAGTAGGTGTGATCATGGTGCACGAGACAGGAATCAGAGGAGCTAAGGACGTTCAACGATGCTGGGGGACTCAGCACGGAACTCAGGAAATCCTCTGCCTCCCATTCACTCAACGCCTGCACAGGGTTCAAATAAACAAGCCTTGACCTATCAACTACCCACCACCCCATGAACGCTCTCCCGGGATCCCCGCGCCTCCCGGGCTCGCAGCCCCCACCCACCTCGGAAAGCGGCGGCCCGGCCCCCAAATCGCCGCTTTCCTCTAGCAGGAAGTCCAGCAGGTCCTGGTCACCCAAGTCCAACGCCAGCTCCATACCGGATAACAACGGGAAAGATGTACAGAGCAGAGAGACCTATCCGCAAGCCCGGACCTGTCGCTCTGAAATTGCACCAGCCCCAAGACCCGATTCTCCGCAACTTCCAACACCACGGAAGTGACGCGCATACCCCCAAGGCACCACGGGATTTGGAGTTCCCTCCGACGCGGAAGTGGCCTAGCCGCGGCGCGCCACGTCCCGGGAGCTATGCAAATAGAGGGGACGTCCCTGCGGCCTCCTCACACCCTGAGGGCGGGCAATCTGGGAGGCCGCCTCCGCCTCGGCCCCAGGCTGAAAAAAAAGGAAGGGTTAGAGACCAAAAGGGAACTCGGGCGCAGTTCGGGCGTCTTCCCGGATCGCGCCGCACCCTTGTTTCCTGCCGGGGGAGCCGGCGGGGGAGGGGGGGGCGCCTGTTTAAGGCCGGCTCCCGAGCATCGAGAGCTGGGGCCAGAGCAGCTTCCTGCTGCCCCCACAACCATAGAGCGCGGGCCCAGGGCGCCGCCCGCGGGTGGGGGACGTTCCGGGGACGGAAGTGGCCGAGAGAGTGTCGAAGGGAGGGCGAGGCCGAAGCCCGATTACCACCGGGAGAGCGAGCGGGTTATCGGGCCGGCGGGCGGGGCACGAGCCGGGCAGCGCAGGTAGGCCGGACCGGGCCGAGCCGGAGCCTCAGGGTGGGGCCGCACGGCCAGGACCGGGAAGCGAGCGCGAGGGCGGGTGGCAGCGCGGGTGGCAGGGCGGGCGGGGCCCTTGCGTCCGCTGTTTCGGGTCCTGTTGGAGAGGTCAGCGTCCAGTGTATCTCGGCTTGGGATCGGAAGTTAAGTAGGTCGTTTTAAGGGAGCCAAGCCTTTCCTGGGATCAAGTCCTCTCTGTCTGGAATAAGTTTTGGGGAGGGTGAGGAGTTGGGTGACAGTGAGGCGCAGGGCGGGGATCGGCTTTGAGGTTAGCTGATAGTATGTGGGTAGGAAAGCTGGGGGTGAGTTTGGGAATTAGGTAGAGTTGGGTTCAGGAATTAAGGTTAGCTTATGGAGTTAAAAACCGGAGTTGACATTAGAGTTACCAGTGTGAGTCGGGTCCGTTTTATGTAGGTAGAGTTTGGATTAAGTCATTATTCTGTTTCTGGCCAACGTAAGTCAAAGTTAGGGTTCAGGGCCGGGTTAAGGGTCAACACAGGATTTAAATTAGAAGTCCAGTTTTTTAGGGATTAGAGAACATTAGCATGGAACTAGGGATAAATCGCGAAGGAATGGATCAGAAGTCAAGTGAGACAACAGTTTTAGGCTTAGAGATCAACATTTAGAGTTAAGGTCAGGAAATTCGTTCCTAGAGGTAAAAAGTAGATCAATATTAGGGGTCAAGGATTGGGGACGGGTGTCTGCCAGGAAAGGGATGAATGTCAAAGCCAGTGTTGGGAAACAGGAACCAAATTAGGGTCAGGGTTAATATTAGGGATTAGGGTTACTTTTATGGGGGTTATGGCTGAGATTAGGGTAGCTGACCTTGGATAGATTTAATTTAAGAGATTGGCAGTAGGTAAGTGCTCTCATTTTGCAGGGAGGTCTCATTCCTACGTAGTTTCAGGGGTTCTCTAGCCCAGAGATAGGATCAACTCATTTCAGGTTAGGGATCTGGGCTTCAACTAGAATTGCAGGTATCTGGGATTCTAGCTTCTTTATTTCTGTTCTCTAAATCCAGTGTTCTTGCTGTGGTCACCATGGTTGAGGGGCATAGGTTTATGGACTATGTTGTTTACAAGAGAGGTGTATAAGGCCTAGTCATAAGTGGGGGGACTACTTAGAGGGGACTGTGATTAAGGGGAGGCTGACCACAGATATGCTGTTGCCATGGGAGAAAGAAATGACTGAATCCTCTGAAGATTCAGCCCCATACCTCCCAGTCCCTTCCTTCTCTAGTTATTAAGTCCTCTTTCCAGCTCTCCTCCCTGGCCCTGCAGTTCATGCCCTCCCCACACATCCCCTTCCTGCAAGCAAGGTCCTGCATACAGAATTCTCCCCTTACCTCTAACTCTCCCATACTGTTATCTTACCACCAGTTCCCAGCTACAGTTCTCCCTCCCTTCCTACCCCTGAATCTGCACACCCTACCATAGTTTGCCCTCTCCCAAATCTGAGCTTTCCCATCATCTTAAAGCACTTTCCCACATTTTCCCCCACTCACCCACCTGCATACCTCCCGGTCATCTGCTGAATACCCCATGCCAGCCCAACATAACGGTCAAGTACCCCCAGGCCCTGCTATATGCCAGCCCCTGTCTCTAAGCCTCCTTAATTTCTTGGTCCAGTTGTAGATCCCCTTCCCCCACCCCCCAAACAGAAAAGAGGAAATGAGACCCAAAGAGGAAACTGGGTCTTGCTGATCCCACGCCCAGCCAGGCCACTGACCACACCTCCCATTTCACTCCCAGCCTGACCCTGCCGCTGACCACAGCACTATCCCCTCCCCAGTAAGACCCAGCCACCCCCACCAACTCCGGCTTTGCTTATACACTGCCAGTGTCCCTTCACTCTCCCTACTACCCCATCCCAGCCTTATTTAGTCACTGACCACTGCCCCATCTCATCTCAGCCTCCTGAAACCTAATCTAACCTCTGACCTCACTCTGTCATTCTGACATAATTATTTCCCTATCCTGATCCAGTGGCTTATCATATATGTATTTTTCCTACCACCATTTTCTCCAGCCTTTCTCTACACCTTGGCAGACTAGATACAGTCACTAACCTCATCACTTTTGCCCCTACCTGGTGTTAACCAATCACATCCCCATCTTCTGTGCCCCGGAGCCTCATCTTCATATACCTAGCTCAACCCAATCCTTTCCTTACCCCCTTCCCAATTCCTTATCTAAACTCAAGCCACCCTGGCCACCAAGTGGCTACTGATGACAGGCTGTGGGACTCCACTTTGACTTTGGCGCTGGTCCCTGAAGGTTGACAGGACAGTCATCAGGTCCTGAGAGTTTGACCTCTTGAAACTACAAATAAGTGACATTCTCCTCTGTGTCATCACTTCTCACTTGGGCTAATGCAGTGTCTTTCTGACCAACCTCCAAGGTAACTGCCAGCATGATTTTCCAAAATCCAGTTCTGGTCATGTCCCTTTTCTGCTTAAAGCCTCCGTTGGCCTGCTGTTGCCCTCCAGTAGGTAAAATACTCCTTCCTCTCTACTCCTCCGCTGTCTTTCCACCCTAACCCTGACTTCCCCATCACTGCTCCCTTGCAGGTACCATGCGCTTCAACCAGCCTGCCTGCTCACTTCCCCCAGTGCTCCTCCGTGATTTCCTGCTCCTCCACCTTTGCTTATGCTCTTCTCTCTGCCTGGAATGCTACCCCTGACTCACCTCCTACTGGGATAGTGGAGACAACTTGGGCTTTGGAATCAGAGAGACATGGGTTCCAATCCTGGTTTCACAACTTATTAGCTGTATGACTTTGGAGAAGATCCTTGAATGAGTATTTAACATCTTTGCACCTCAGTTTCTTAATCTGTAAAAATGGAAATAATCATACCTATCTTGCCGGGTGGTTGTAAAGGTTAAATGAAATTACGTATACAAAGAAATTGACATAATCATCAGTTAAAGGTAGTTCCTTATGATTTTTTTTTATTATCTTTATTTTAAGCCCTAACTTCAAATGACACTTTTCACAGACATTTTTTTGGTACCTCTTCCCTAACCTAAAGGGATCTCTCCCCTGAACACGCGCCTCTTGACTCTTACCACATCCTGCCCTATGTTAAAATTCTGTATTTAGCTTATCCACTCAACTAACTGGGAAACACCCCCCCCACCCCCCCCACCCTCAACGAAAGCGAAGGCTAGGGCTTGCTCTTCTTGCTTCCCAGTCACTGGGAGTTTGGCTGAGGGCTTTTTTCACAACAGACCCTCAGAAATGCGTGTTGGGTAAATGGAGGGAGAATGTCTATGTAAAGGGAGGAGAGATGTTGGGGCAAGTTGCTCTCTTACCAATAGAGGTGTGTGTGTTTGTGGGGAAGCTGTGTGCGTGGGATGGGGTCTTTACAGGAAGATAATGTGGTTGTGATGGGGTCTGTGTAGGGACTGCATGTTTGAGATAATGTATATATGGAGACAGTTTAAGTAGCTTTGTGGGAAAGAGCTCTGTGCATAAACCAGGGTGCAGATGGGGAAAATGAATATGCCTAGATCGGTGTAGGTGGTGAGGGGCTGTGTTGAGAGAGATCAAGTCCAGCCCTTCAGCTGCCCAGTCCAGCCTTAAATGAGCCTCCAGCAGCCCAAGGCCGGATATGTCATTCTCACCCACAACCCCACCCCCACCCCTCCTCCCCGTGGTTGCCGACTCAGAGGCCAAATTTGGTAACAGACTGAGTGTTACTCCCCCAACCCTCATACATTCTGACTTAGTCTTCAGCTTTCTCTCTCCCTTGTCCCTTTCCATAGCTCCCTGTCTTTCTGCAGCTCCCTTTGTGGGGCTCTACTCTGACTCTATTCTCCATGTACCCCAAATTCTTTACTCCCAGTATACTTACATTCCATTCCTTGCTGGGATTTGACCTCTTGTCCTCCACCCCCACCCCACCCCCAATTGCCCAACTCCTCTGGAATGCATCTCAGGAATGTCTTGAGGGAGGAGGAGTTCCCTGGGAGGGGGATATGGTGTGTGTGGGGGGGCATTGTTGCTGTTTCATAAAACGTGATAGAAAAGGGAGCAAAGTTTTCAGGCCAGAGCAGGAACTGGATAGCTTCTCCCCATACTTCCAAGGGCCTCGTTCTTTGCCCTCATCACCCTCAGTTAACTTCTCCATTCCCTTTCCTCCCTCACCATCTTGTCACTCTGTGGGTATCCACTCAGAACCAGCCTGGGAGGGTAGGCATGACTCATCTCTCTTATCGGGGTCTCACCAGAGGTTTCCGTGCTTGAAGAAGGGGGTGTCCATATGTCCGGAGGAAATGGGGGAGGCTTTCAGCTTAGAGTGGAGGATCCTTTCAGTGCTGCCCTCAACATCTCTGACTCCTCCACTTCGCTGACCTTCCAGCCCTCCAGCAGCCTCACAGCCAGGTCTGTCAAGCTACTGGGAGAGGTGACCGAGAAATGGGGAGGTGGGCAGAGAGCTGGGGAGACTGGAAGAGTCCTCATTTGTTTGGAAATAAGAGAGCGAGCCATGGTTTCTTGGGAGACTCTGGACTGTTTCTAAGGTCAGAAGCGGTCTAGTGCATCCCTGACCCATACCTCTCCCACACAGGCCCGCCTCCTGTCTCTGGTTTTTCAGTTTCCT